TGAGTCTCTGCCATCTACTTTATTTGGACCGCCAGGAGGCGGTCGTTGAGGGGGGGTACTGTTGGGATCTGGAGGTCTGTCCACTTTCTCCACCAGAGGGCGTACTAGATCTCCTGGAGCCGGAGCTGATTGCAACCACCTGTCGCTCATCTGCTCATCAGAAGATCTGTATTTAAGGAGGCAGAGGACTTCTCTCCAGTGCCAGAGTGTTTGCCAGTTACGGTTAGCAAGCCTGAGCCAACCTGCCTGTCTGAATCTCTGACTACCTGAAAACCAGAACCTGAACCTGATCTGTTTTCTCCCCTCTGCTTCCTAGATTGAACCTGTCTGAAATCTGAAATCCAGTATCTCTGCCAGTAATCTGCCTGTCTGTTCTCTGAAGAACCCTGAAAAACTATTTCTGTCAAAGACCTGCCTGCCCGCTCTTTGAAGAAACCGGAAGGGAAACTCTAATCGGTAATCTGCCAACACTCAAACCAAGCTCTGCCTCCGCCTAGCCCTCAGCCTGCCGACAGCCTCTGGACCCTCTAGGTTCCCCCCCTCAGCCGCTCAGCTCAACTCCTGTACAGGTACAGCCCTGCACACTCTCATCCTGCAAATTACCTGGACCTCCACTTACTCCTCTGTCCCCCTCTGCAGAGAACCCACTTGTGACCAGTCCTGGACCTGTTAACTCTGTGTGCATTTCTGAATCCACTCGTGACCAGACGAGTTCCCCTTGGGATCTGTTTATTTATTGTATTCCATCTTCTCAATAAACCTTTGAACTTTTATTCTGTCTCGGAGTGTTCTGAATGTGGGTTAGGCACCTGAAGCCAAACATGACGGAACACTCTGGCCAACAGACTAACCTAGCGGAATCACTCCGGAGGATATTGGAACAACAACAACAACAAACTCCGTGAGTTAAACACACGTCATGACCAAACAAACCGTGCTTTACAGGAGATAGCCGGCTATCTGCAAAATGCTACACCAAGAACTGAGCCCACTCAACTTCCGGTTCAAGAGACTAATCCTCCACTTAGGTCAGAACCCGGTCTGTCGTTTCCTAAATTCCGCCCTTCACTTCCTGAAAAGTTTTTTGGCAATCCTAGTAAGTGTAAGGGATTTCTGTTCCAGTGTAAACTCGTTTTTGAACATTCGCAGTCCAGTTTCCCTAATGACAAGAGGAAAATTGCCTTTATTCTGTCTCAATTGTCTGGAAAAGCCCTTGAATGGGCGGAAGCCAGATTTTCTTCAGAATCTAGTTTTGATTGTACATTTGAACAATTTATCCAAGAGTTTTCACAAGTATTCAATCAAGATACAGACAAGTCCACAGAGTCTCGTGGACTTTTAGAATTTAAACAAGGAAATAGAATGGTTGCCGAATTTTCAATCAACTTCCGGGTGGAATGAATCTGCGCTTAAAAGTGCTTATTTCCATGCTCTAGACGAATCTATTAAAGACGAGCTGGCCACTCTCGATGAACCAGCAACCTTGGAGGAGCTCATCAAGTTAACAATCCGTTTGGATAACAGACTACGAGCCAGATTCAAGTCTAGATTGAGAAGCCATGTTTTTTCTGTCTCTGCCCCAGCAGCTAAGAATAATGACACCATTTCTTCCTCAGTGTCCTCTGAAGCTGAGTCCAGATCAAAGAGCCGGAATTAACCTGTATCTGTCCCTGTATCTAAGACTCATTACGTCTCTCCCTCCACAGAATCCTCTGAAGTTGAGCCAATGCAGATCGGTCACACCAGGCTCACATCCGAGGAGAGGCTAAGAAGGTGTAAGGGGAACCTTTGCATGTACTGTGGAGAACCAGGTCATTTTGTTTCAACCTACCCAGCCAAGGTTAAAGCCGGGGTCCGCCAGTGGAAATGAGGAGTCTGGCGGACCATCTTCAAACTGAGAAATCTCCTCGCCTGCTGTTACCTGCTACTCTGTTTCTCACAGATCAATCCCTCACGCTTTCTGCATTAATAGACTCTGGTTGTGAGAAAAATCTAATTGACTCCGGTCTGGTTCAACAATTGAACATAGAAACCACTCCTTTGAATAAACCTCTGAGAGTTTCGGCCCTCGACAGTAAAAGATTACCTCATGTCACACACCAAACTAAGCCGCTCGAACTGTTAATCTCTGGCAATCACAGAGAAACAATATCCTTTTTCGTGTTTCCGTCAGCCAGTTCATCCATAGTCCTTGGTTTTGAGTGGCTTCAACTTCATAATCCACACATCAATTGGTCCAAAAGACATGTTGAATCCTGGTCTGCATCCTGCCATGTTTCCTGTCTCCGCTCCGTCGCACCTTCAACTCAGTTTCCGGCCAGCCGTCAGGAGGCTGACCCGCCTGATCTTTCCTCTGTACCTCCTGACTACCATGACCTAGCACCTGTTTTCAGTAAGGTTAAGAACGCCTATCATCTCCTCAGAATCAGAGAAGGAGATGAATGGAAGACTGCATTTAAAACTCCTCTAGGCCAATTCGAGTACTTAGTGATGCCTTTTGGTCTAACCAACGCCCCTGCCTGTTTCCAGGCCCTGGTTAATGGTTTTGAGAGATTTTTTAAACATCTTCGTTTTTGTCTATGTTGATGAAATTCTGATCTACTCCAAAAACCTGTCTGAACACAAGAAGCACGTCCGTTTGGTTCTTCAAAGACTCCTTGAAAACAAGCTGTTTGTCAAAGCTGAAAAGTGTGAGTTTCACCGTCCTTCTGTCACCTTTCTAGGTTTTGTGCTTGAGGGCGGGCAGGTGAAGCTGTCTGAGGACAAGATCAAGGCGGTTCTGGACTGGCCCACTCCTGAGAATCATAAACAACTACAAAGGTTTCTGGGGTTTGCAAACTTTTACATAAGGTTCATCCGAAATTACAGCCAGACAGCTCGGCCTCTGACTGCCCTTACATCTGTTAATAGGACTTTTCACTGGTCTGCGGAGACTGAGGCTGCATTTAAGAAACTCAAGGCCCTGTTCTCTAGTGCACCCATCCTCGTCCAACCTGACCCCTCCAAGCAGTTCATATTTGAGGTGGATGCTTCTGATTCTGGGGTGGGGGCAGTCTTGTCCCAAGTATCTGATTCTGACCAAAAAACTCATCCATGCACATTTTTATCCCGCAGACTTTCGCCCGCAGAGCAAAATTACGATGTCGGAGACAGAGAACTCCTAGCAAATAAACTGGCTCTGGAAGAATGGCGGCATTGGCTGGAGGGCGCAGAGCATCCCGTTCTGGTATGGACAGATCACAAAAACCTATCATACATTCAATCTGCTAAGAGATCCAATCCCCGTCAGTCCCGTTGGTCACTGTTCTTCTCAAGATTTAACCTGATTATCTCCTACCGGCCTGGCTCCAAGAACATCAAACCCGACTCTCTCTCACGCCTGTACTCGCCCAACAAACCTGAAACTCCGGACTCCATTCTCCCTGCCAGCTGCACGGTGGCTACTGTCTCCTGGGAAATCTCTGATTTAATAAAACTGGCCCAAGCTTCTGAACCCGAACCAGGTAATGGTCCACCCAACAAAACCTATGTTCCCTCTTCTGTCAGGTCCCGTCTCATCCACTTGATGAATTCAGCCAAGTTTTCTGCTCACACCGGTGTAAGCAGAACCATTGCCCTGATCTCTCGCCGTTTCTGGTGGCCATCCCTTCACAAGGAATACGAAAGAGTATGTCCTAGCCTGTTCCACCTGTGCTCGAAATAAACCTTCACACCAACCTCCCTCTGGTTTCTTCATCGGCTACCTGTTCCATCTCGCCCCTGGTCCCACATCGCCGTGGATTTTGTGACCGGTTTGCCCGCATCCAGAGGTATGACCACCATCCTCACCATAATAGATCGATTCTCAAAAGCCTGTCATCTTGTTCCCCTCAGGAAACTTCAGACTGCCTTCCAAACAGCGCAGCTTCTGGTCAAACACATTTTCAAGCTCCATGGAATTCCCCAGGAGATTTTGTTGGACAGAGGGCCTCAATTCACCGCACAGGTCTTAAAACACTTCTGTTCTTGACACATAAATCTCTCTGACATCAGGTTATCATCCACAATCCAATGGTCAAACTGAACATCTAAATCAGGAGCTGGAATCAACCCTCTGATGCTTCACTTCAACCAACCCGATCTACTGGAGCCAGTATCTACACTGGGTAGAATACGCACATAATTCTCACACATCTTCTGTAACCGGTCTGTCCCCTTTTGAAATCTCTCTAGGTTATCAGCCACCCCTGTTCCCCACCGACAAAAAGGAAATTTCCGTTCCATCAGTTCAGCACCACATCTGCTGTTGTCATAAGATCTGGAAAGACACCATTGCCGCTCTGAACCGGACATCTGCTCAAAACAAAAAATATACTGACCGCAAACGACGTCCTGCTCCCACCTATACACCCAGACAACAGGTTTGGCTCTCCACATGTGACATCCCTCTCAAATCCATGTCCCGCAAACTCTCTCCCAGGTTCATCGGTCCGTTCAAAATCGAGTCTGTATTCAACCCGTCTGCCATCCGCCTGCATCTGCCATCCTCTCTCCGGATTCATCCAACATTCCACGTCTCGCAGATTAAGCCTGTCCTGACCAGCCCTTTGTGCCCTCGGTCCGACTCCCCTCCACCCGCCCGGGACATTGATGGTCACCCTGCTTTCACCGTCCGCCGGATCGTAGACTCCCATCGCCGGGGCCGCGGCTGGCAGTACCTGGTCGACTGGGAGGGCTACGGTCCGGAGGATCGCACTTGGGTTCCTGGATCCTTTATTCTCGACCCTGACCTGATCAGAGAATACCGTGAGTCTCTGCCATCTACTTTATTTGGACCGCCAGGAGGCGGTCGTTGAGGGGGGGTACTGTTGGGATCTGGAGGTCTGTCCACTTTCTCCACCAGAGGGCGTACTAGATCTCCTGGAGCCGGAGCTGATTGCAACCACCTGTCGCTCATCTGCTTATCAGGAGATCTCTATTTAAGGAGGCAGAGGACTTCTCTCCAGTGCCAGAGTGTTTGCCAGTTACGGTTAGCAAGCCTGAGCCAACCTGCCTGTCTGAATCTCTGACTACCTGAAAACCAGAACCTGAACCTGATCTGTTTTCTCCCCTCTGCTTCCTAGATTGAACCTGTCTGAAACCTGATACCCAGAAGAGTATCTCTGCCGGTAATCTGCCTGTCTGTTCTCTGAAGAACCCTGGAAAACTATTCCTGTCAAAGACCTGCCTGCCCGCTCTCTGAAGAAACCGGAAGGGAAACTCTAATTGGTAATCTGCCAACACTCAAACCAAGCTCTGCCTCCGCCTAGCCCTCAGCCTGCCGATAGCCTCTGGACCCTCTAGGTTCCCCCCTCAGCCGCTCAGCTCAACTCCTGTACAGGTACAGCCCTGCACACTCTCATCCTGCAAATTACCTGGACCTCCACTAACTCCTCTGTCCCCCTCTGCAGTGAACCCACTCGTGACCAGTCCTGGACCTGTTAACTCTGTGTGCATTTCTGAATCCACTCGTGACCAGACGAGTTCCCCTTGGGATCTGTTTATTTATTGTATTCCATCTTCTAAATAAACCATTGAACTTTTATCCTGTCTCGGAGTGTTCTGCATGTGGGTTAGGCACCTGAAGCCAAACATGACAGTAATAGATCTTACTCCACACATTAAATGGATGCTGCTCCCTCCTGCAATACTGAATTCCACTTTGCCATCTAAATGGTAATCAAAGCTGCAGAAACAGGAAATAACAGAGCAGCTGGTTTCTTGTTTTAAATCTTGAAAGAAATAACAGAGAACATGTTGGTTTTGGACATTTGTGACGATTAGAGACTGGTTCAATAAATGGGAAGCATACTGCTCCTCCCGCCAAAGTGAATCCATTAGATATTAGCTGTTAAACATTAAAACCAATAAATTGCCTGTGGTTGGATTAATGAATTTATCTAAATCTAAACATTTATTTCCTATACATTTTTGATACTATTTAGTTCAAAGCTGGAATGGAGATAATTTGGAGATTTCCGTCCAAAATACCATAACAATTTGGCTACATTTTTAATTCACAGTGGTAATTGTTGGAGGTGTGTTGATTGTAGACAGAATCTGCTTCTTCAGAGTTTCCCTCGTTTTTTTCTGTACCATAAAGTATATAAGATTAACTTCCATTGAGCTGAAAAATTTTGAGAGAAAAGATTTTTACCTTCTGATTAGCTCTTATTATCAGACTCACATTTAATCCTGTGTTTTTACTCCATCTGGTCTCTGACGTTCCACAAGGTTTGGTCCTTAGCTTCCTCTTCCTTCATTTCTACATATTACTTTCTTTAGAGAACATTTTAATTTGTTTGTTTGTCTTCCATTAGTTCATTTTTTTTTTTACTGTTTCCCCAGATCCCCTCAAATCGGAAGTCCTATTTACGCCAATACTTATTAAGGATAAAGGACAGTGAGGTACAGGTAGGTGAACAGAAATCCTCTTAGGTGAAGGTAATAGTGTTACCAGGATACAGTATCAAAAACTGTGATGTTTTCTCCTCCCACTCTAAATGTTATCTTTCTATGTACCAGGGGTTTTAGATAACACTATATATAATATAACTGTCATGATGGGTTCACTGAAGGAGACCCAGTTATGCAGAACACCACTGACGGACACAAGGATGAAAAGTTTAACAGTTTATTTAAGCACAACACACAGAATGTACTGATTCTGGTTCGGGCCTGGATTCTGGTTTACCGGAGTCTGCGTGAGAGACAGCACAGTTAGGGACTGCTGACAGGGTTTGATTTCCAAAGGTTCACTGATTGTACCTTGAGGGTTCTTGAGGTTTACTTTGGGAGAGTCACTGTTGGTTCTGGAGAAGAGTTTATCAGCAGAGTCCGTTTGCTGCTTCAGCGTCTCACGTCTTAGCTTGAACAGACCTTGGCTTAGATTTCCCAGCTCTAGTCCAGAGCTGCTTGGGGGTTCTCTGTGAATCTTCAGGGTTTGGCTCAGAGGGTCGGCTCGGCAGGTTAGCTCCTCCAGAGCTTTCACAGAGGAGGCACGGGTTTCCTGGAAAACAGAGACAGTAGTTAGAATCCAACCTGGATTCAAAGTCATGGAGATACACTGAGGATCTAGGCTTTAGCGCTGACCAACTGGATCAACACTGCGACATTGAGGCAAGGTCTGAAGACAGCTTATGTAGTGGATCCTCTGATGATCTTGATGAGCTGCAGCTGTGCAGGAGGCTCCCTCAGAGGATCCACGGCGGACTCTGCTGGAGAAAGATGGGATCTCTCCACCTCCCAACAGTACCCCCCCCTCAACGACCGCCCCTTGGCGGAGCGGAAGAGGTAGATGGGCAGGAACGCTCGTACGAAACTTTTAACGGATGCAGATGACTGGTTGAGTGTGGCGATGGTCTCCCTCCAAATCCTTTGACAGCGACGGATGTGTTGATTGATGGACAGCACCGATATCTCTCTCTCATCTGCGGGGAAAAGAGGTGGTTGATATCCGAGACTGACCTGGAATGGGGATTATCCAGTGGATGCAGAACGGAGAGAGTTGTGGGCATATTCAATCCATGGGAGAAATTGGCTCCAGTCCACGGGGTTATTTGACGTGAGGCAGCGGAGGGTGGATTCCAACTGTTGGTTCATGCGTTCGGTCTGACCATTCGATTGGGGGTGGTAACCTGAGGTGAGAGAGGGTTTGCAGCCGAGAGCAGAACAGAAAGCCTTCCATAACTGAGAGATGAATTGGGGACCTCTGTCCGAGAGGATTTCTTGGGGGATGCCATGAAGCCGGAAAACATGTTTTATCAGAAGCTGAGCTGTCTGGAAGGCCGTGGGAAGTTTTCTGAGGGGAACTAGATGGCAGGATTTCGAGAAACGGTCAACAATGGTTAGTATGGTGGACATACCTCGAGAGACAGGGAGACCGGTGACGAAATCTATGGCGATATGAGACCATGGATGCGAGGGAACAGGAAGTGGTTGAAGCAGGCCAGAAGGAGGCTGGTGTGAGGCTTTGTTATGGGCACATGTGGGGCAAGCCAACACATACTCCTTTACGTCCCTGTGGAGAGTGGGCCACCAGAAGCGTCTGGAGATGAGAGCAACTGTTCTACTCACTCCTGGATGAGCGGAGAATTTGGCGGCATGCATCCACTGGATTAGACGGGACCTGACAGAAGATGGGACATATGTACGGTTAGATGGACCATTACCTGGATCGGGTTCAGTGGCCAGGGCTGAGTTGATTAGGTCAGTTATCTCCCAGTTGACCACTCCTACTGTACATGAAGCCGGAAGGACTGGTTCAGGTGTCTCAGGATGATCGACGGAGTAGAGACGAGAGAGAGAATCGGGCTTCACGTTCTTGGATCCGGGTCTGTAGGAAATGATTAGGTTGAAGCGGGAGAAGAAGATTGACCACCTGGATTGGCGAGGATTAGCCTGTTTAGTTGACTGGATGTAAGCCAGGTTTTTGTGGTCTGTCCACACAAGAACCGGGTGCTCAGCTCCCTCCAGCCAATGCCTCCATTCTTCCAACGCCAGCTTGATAGCCAGGAGCTCTCGGTCACCCACATCATAGTTCTGTTCGGCGGAAGAAAGCCTACGGGAGAAGAAAGCACATGGGTGTATCTTTTGGTCTGAGTCGAGCCTCTGGGAAAGAACGGCTCCAACACCGGAATCTGAAGCATCCACCTCAAGGATTAACTGTTTTGCGGGATCAGGTTGAATAAGGACAGGAGCTCTGGAAAACAAGGATTTTAACCTTTCGAATGCTGCTTGAGCCTCGGGAGTCCACTGAAAAGTTTGTTTAACAGAAGTCAGGGAGGTTAATGTAAGGGCGGTTTGACTGTAGTTTCTTATAAATCGACGATAGAAGTTTGCGAACCCTAAAAACCTCTGCAGTTGTTTTCGGTTCTCTGGAACTGGCCAGTCTAAGACTGCTTTGATTTTGTCCTCTGAAGGCTTTACCTGGCCGCCCTCGAGCACAAACCCCAAAAAGGTGACTGAAGGTTGATGAAATTCGCACTTCTCGGCTTTCACGAACAGCTTATTCTCCAGTAGTCTCTGTAAGACAAGACGAACATGTTTCTTGTGTTCATGGAGGTCCTTGGAATAAATGAGAATGTCATCAATGTACACAAAAACAAACACGTTGAGGAAGTCTCTGAGAACATCATTAACTAGGGCCTGGAAGCAGGCTGGAGCGTTAGTTAAACCAAAGGGCATTACAAGGTATTCGAATTGGGCCAAGGGTGTTTTAAAGGCAGTTTTCCATTCATCGCCCTCACGTATCCTAAGGAGATGATAGGCGTTTCTTAAATCCAGCTTGGAAAACACTGTTGCACCCTGTACTGGTTCAAAAGCAGAGGCGAGAAGAGGCAGTGGGTATTTATTTTTAATTGTGATCTGGTTCAAACCTCGATAATCAATACAAGGTCTCAGGGAACCATCCTTCTTGCCCACGAAGAAGAAACCAGCGCCCAATGGAGAGGAAGAAGGACGAATTATTCCAGCAGCTAATGATTCGTTGATGTATTTTTCCATAGTTTCTCTTTCGGGCTTGGAAATGTTATACAATCTGCTGCTAGGAAGAGGAGCACCAGGTAAAAGTTCAATGGCGCAATCGTATGGTCTGTGTGGAGGTAGGGACGTCGCACTGACCTTACTGAAGACAGGGGCTAAGTCATGGTACTCAGGGGGAACTGAAGAAAGGTCAGGAGAGTCCATCTCCCCCCCACCTCAAGGAGACCCCACCATAGGGGCAGCAGAACGAAGGCATGTTTCGTGGCACGTAGTGGACCATGATTCCAGGTGACGTTTAGTCCAGTTAATGTGAGGGTTATGCTTCTCCAACCATTTGAACCCGAGAACCAGCGGGGAACATGCAGAGGGAAAAACAAAGAATGTTATAGTCTCTCGGTGGTTACCTGACAGAAGTAGCTCGAGAGGCTGGGTTTGGTGGGTAACTCGATGGAGTCTCCTTCCGTCAATAGCAGACACACTGAGGGGCTGAGAGAGAGGAACGGTTTTAATCTGGAGTTGCTGGACGAGGTTAGAGTCGATTAGGTTACGTTCACAGCCTGAGTCGATGAAAGCTGAGAAAGAGAGGCTTTGATTATCAAATAACAAATATGTTTTTTCTGTTCTGTTTAACAGAAACTTTTCTGACTGTTTGAACATAAAACATAAATTTAAAAAGTTCAAAAACAGTTTTAAAATCTCAGTAATAAGTTTATGGGTCAGAGCTGCAGTTTGTTTTTTAATAGATGATCCTGTTTGAGACAAGTCAGTCTGTAGACGTGGAAACTGATGGGTAGATATGTTCCACTGAGTTAAAGGCTCACAAAGGCTTTTTCACTGTTTAAAATGAAGAAATCTCAAAGAGACATAGAAGCAGGTGCTAGAGGTGTGTTTGCGTTTCCTGCTCTCAGAGGAATAAAAGGGAAGCAGGCAGAGCCTCAGGGACTGATGGTGCTGTTAACAGGCAGGGTTATAATATTTAGGCCCAGTCCCATTCCTCTCACTTGGTTCTGAGAACACTCCAGTCAGTTCCCTGCAAGGTGA